CTTGCTGGCATATTGAGTTTCACATTGGGACCAAAAATGTCCTTTGCCACAAGCATGACATTGCTTATTTGCCCTATGTTCAGAGTAAAGGGATTTATTAGCTTTTCCATTAGGGTTATTCGATTTCAGAAGGCTCTGAGAATGAAGGTCTTGCTTTAAAATGGCTTTCTTTAGCTTGAGTATGACTGAGGTAATTCTGACTGAATGAGGATGCTTGCTTACTGACGTCCCAAATTTTTCTGTCAATTTTTACCTCTGCAAATTGAGGATATTTGATCCCACTAATAGAATCGGCATATTCAGACACCTGTTGCATGTTTTTAGGATCCTTGTTCTTGACAAGATAGCACAACTTCCCTGGTAAAATTGAATAAAATTGATCTAATCCAAACACATTTCTCATTTGGTCTGAGGAGGTGGCCCATTCCTGTTCTAGCTATTTATTAAAATACTGAGTTAAATGTGATCCTAGTTGAGCAAAAAACTCCTCAGGTTTCTTTGAAATTGACCTAAATTTTCTCCTGAGATGCTCTGAATTAATCCCAAATCAGGAGTACACCATCTTTCAGTAAGCCTCAAAACCTCTAGCTTGTTCAAGAGGCATCTGTGAATAGATCTCAGATAAAACTCCCCCTATCTGTGACCCTAAAATTATCATCCTCTCATCATTTTTAACCCCGGAATCCCAACAAGCTCTCTCAAAGGAAATCAGGAAAGATTCAGGACAGTCTCCTTTCCGATATTGGGAAAATTTATTTAGATCAATATTTGAGGGATTTCCCACACTGGAATAATAATAATAATAATAATAATAATAATAATAATAATAATAATAATAATAATAATAATAATAATAATTATTATTATTATTATTATTATTATTATTATTATTATTATTATTATTATTATTATTATTATTATTATTATTATTATTATTATTATTATTATTATTATTATTATTATTATTATTATTATTATTATTATTCCAGTGTGGGAAATCCCTCAAATATTGATCTAAATAAATTTCCCCAAAGTTGGAAAGGAGATTGTCCTGAATCTTTCCTGGTTTAGAGAGCTTGTTGGGACTTTGGGGTTAAAGGTGATGAGAGGATGATAATTTAAAGGTCACATAGGGAGTTTTATCTGAGATCTATTCACAGATGCCTCTTGAACAAGCTATGAAATCTAATAGCAGCTAACTATGAAATCTAATAGCAGCAAACTTACGAGATGGGCGCTGATTTGACAAGACTTTGATTTTGAAATCTGCAGTGTAAAAGGATCTTAGAATGTGGTCATGAATGCTTTGTCTAGAAGGCCAAATGACTAGAGAAAATTCATTTTTTATTTATCTGAGTTCAATATTAACTGTTCTGTTTTTGTAATAGTTATGTGATATGCTTAAACTGCAAAATTTGCTTTTTGGATGTTAATAAACTAAGAGGAAGGTATAGTGATAGTAAAAATAATAGAAAGTATCCTTAGTAATGTAAGAAGTTAATATTTGCATTCGTCCATGAACCTTCATTTGTTTATGAGGGCAAACCATTAAGTTTTCCCTCCTAAAGCAAACTAATTAAGGGGGAGAGGAATGTAGCATTCACTCTGCTTATGGATATTTATATTGAGATTTGCATGCACCAATA